TCTTCTTCAATTTACCCGCTATAGTTGTCCATGTTGCCCGACTAGAGCTGATTGAAGTAACTAAGCACTTCAGACAGAGTTAAAGCTTAACACAGTAAAAGTTACAATCTCGCGTTGGAACTATAGAATGAGTAGAGATTAGAATGTACTGGGGAAACCGTAAGTGATCAAGCAAATATTTCATTATAACTACATTTCACTGATTGAATTTGGAATTCTTTAGTCTGAAGCCAAGTTCTGTGAATATTTCTTGGCAAATACTGATTGTTGATTGATTACCTTATCCCATAGTAAGAAATTTTGAATAGAATATACGTAGTTGTTCTTTCTTTTCCAAAGCAAGGAAATAAGGATATTTGGAATTTAAGATGTTCAATCCATTTACCTACTTAACACTAAAAAAAAAATTAAGCAAATTGAACTCTTAATAGTTTCAAATTTAGGGGATTCGCTAGAACCATATGTACGGATGTCACTCAACTTTACTTTATTGCACCGTGTCGCTAATTTATTTATCTTAATTTTTACAACGGTGAAATAATTCAAATTTACTTAAGTATCACAAAAGTCTAATTGTTTTTACCAAGAACTCCATCAACTTTGCTTAAGATCTCATTGGTTTGCATTTAAGGAAAGATGAATCTTACTAATCATTCAAAATTCAGTTAATAAGTATTTGAATCGTTAAAAAAGTAGTGTATATATACATGTTTTTCATTAACAGACTGAATATTTAAAAGAAAATCTAAACCTGATCTTTTAGAGTTTAAAACACCAGGTGGCTTTTAAAAATTACCGCACCTTTTTTTTCCTTTTTACCCTCTAGTCCAACCCAACTAAAAAGAAATAATTTATCTTTTATTTAAACCCGATCCAAACCCATTTTATTATCAGTAGAAGAGGAATTGAGATTCTTTTTATACTCTCTCTATTCACTTTTACTTGTCACCGTTTGACTTGACACGCACATTAAAAAAAAAGTTATTGATATAAGTATTTTATCATACTGTCCCTACTAATTAATGCTTAGTATTGGGTCTTGAAAAATGACATGGAGAATAATATTTATTGCTAAGGGTAAAATATATTTTTTTTAAATTGTTTTTTCTTGATATCTCAAAAGTAACAAGTAAAAATGAAAATCTATTTTAGAAATAAATAAGAAGGAAATGAACGAAGTGAGTAAATTTAATAAGAATTATATATATAAAAAAAAGTATGCTCGACAATAAAAATGAAAATTGAGTATATTTCTAATCCCGCCAATAATTCCATTTTCTTTAATTGACGAAATTAGCCCTGCCTTATACCCATATAACTGAAAAGGTAAAACGGTAAATATCCCAAAAAGAATAACGGCAAGGGGTAGTCCGTTGGTAACGAACTCTTCCCTGCAAACTAACTATAAACAGAGGTGACGCTCGTCATTCTTCTTCATCAATCATCACTTCCCCATTTCCAATTTCTCTGCAAAACGAAAAGAAGAAAAAATGAATTTCTTAGTGAATGCTGTGAAATTGTACTTCAATAGGAATTGGACAAGAAAAGACATGATGAATTCTGCACCAATTACCGAGCACGCTTACACAAGCTTGAAGACGGTATGTTTACACTTTGTAATTTAAGAAATTGTATATCGAGATTTTTTCTTTATTGTAGGCTTGTTACTAGAAGATGATGCTAATTAAATCGCCTATTCTTAAGAATTGATGAATCTTTGTTCCCGGAATATTGTTGATAATCATAGTCGGTGTTTTTTCTACTGTTTCTTGTAGTTCAGTAAGAAATAAGGATGAATTACGATTCTCAGAAGATATTGAAGTTTGACGTTTTAATAGTAAAAAACGATTGGAGATTTGGAGTAACATGCAACTTTTTATTAGCATTTCGAATCGAGTTTTCCCTATTCGGTCTTGAAAGTTGTTTGTTAGTAGTATATATTATGATAATGAAGAAAACATCGAAGTTTGCATAGAAGTTGAATGGTTGTTTAAGCATTTTCATATGAGTATTGATTAGTTTTTGCTGAAACTATAGGTATATCTTACTCTCTTCTTGGCCATATTGGCCACTGCTTTTGGATCCTACTTGCACTTGATCTGGGAAACAGGGGGGATGTTATCAATCATTAAATGTGGATCAAGTTTACTCTTGCTTTACCGTACACCACAACAGAGAGTGGTACGTGATCAATGACTCGTAGATTTTCTTCCAAGTTGTTGAATTATTCTTCAAGTCGCTTCTTATATTGTAAATCTTCTGTCTATGCAGTTGGCGAGGCTCTTATACTTGATGGATGTTGCCATTTGCTTCGGTGCTTCTGTTGGCCTTTTTACCAAGTATTTCTTCGAAATCGATCAAAGGTAAGACTCGAAAGATAATCATTATTTGTACCAATATTTGAGAACTATGACTAGCATTGAGTTTTAGAATGTTGGTTTGATATTAGCATTGAGCTAAATTGATGACTTGTAACTAAGATTCATGGATTTAGGGGACTGTAATGGAATTACAGCTACGACTCAGAATTATATTCTTTAGAAACTGGAAACAGTTTTGAACTTTATTGGCATATAAATGAGAGAACTTGAGCAATACAGACACCAAACTGTGATGAGTACTTTATTAGCACCTTCTTGTTCTATATTTGAACAATATCTAACTTCAGAAATCTCTCTATCCAGCACTGTCATTAGATTTTTGCTAGGTGCAGCAATTGTCTTTGGATGTTTCTCGATTGCAGCAAAAGTACATAGGGAAAGGAGCCACATCTACATCACTAGCTTGATTAACACTGGTATTCTAATACTACTGTGGTTTGACGTTTCTCAGTGGACGTTAAAGGTGAGAAAGTTGTATGCATACCTTGTGTTCACACGCATCCTATAACACAGTTGTTCCCTTGTTCATAAATCAGTAATTTTGCCTCAAACTTAATATGTATGCATACAATGTGACTAATTACAATGATTTTGAACTACTTGACTCAAGTCTTATGACTGACTTGAATAATGCTTATGACAGGCATACGTTCTGCTGGCACTCTTTATGGGGTACCTTGTGCTATATAGCCAAGAGATACTGTACGATGCTTGCTTTGGAGAAATTAACTTTGCCAACTGCGCATTCACTATCTTCTTCTGTTTACCAGCTATTGTGGTCCATGCTGTAAGACTATGCCTGGGTGCAAACATTGAGCAACACAGACAGAATTAATGCTGATACACTTGGAACTATATACTCTGTGATGAAGAAAACTTTGAATAGAATATACTATGTGATGACTACATTTTACTGTAAATGATGAACAAATATGTCTATGTGATGACTACATTTTACTGTAAACTCATAGTCTGAAGCCAAGTGCTTTGAATAGAATATACTACTGCATAATTGTTCTTTCTTTTTTCAAGACATGATCAGTCCATTGCCTACTTAACTCGAAAATGAGCAGATTGAAATGTTTCAATTATCTCTCTATTTTGATTACCTCATTTCATTTTTGTAAATTAACACTTCTACTCGTTTTGACAGAACGTACACATTATTACAACATTAAACAGTTTAATCTTAAGCACACAATTGGTTACTTATAAAATCAATATCAACACCTACAATGTGATTTTTTGGCATGCGATCCTTGGTAACTTTTTCTAAATCAGTTAATCCAAACAGACTCTTAATGATTTAAGAAGAGTGACTTTTTAGTTTACAAAATAGTTTAATGAGTTTAGTTCAAAAGAGTACTAATTAACTACTAGCAGGGAGGGTAGTCATTGGTAACAAACATCTCGTTCATCAGTTTTCCGATTCCCTTTTCTCTCTGCAAAGAGAAAAAAAAATGAAATTCTCAAATATGAAAAATGCTGTGAAAGCTTACTTCGAAAGGAATTGGAACAAAGAAGACATGATGGATCCTGATGAAATTCCCCCAACAGCTCACAAAAGCTTGAAGAAGGTATATTTATCGAGTAAATATCTCAAATGTTCACTCAACTAATAGTTCTTTTCACACAGAAAGTCACTTAACTCTCTTTTATAAACTCAAATTTACCCAATTAAGAATTTTTCACACAGAAAGTCACTAAACAATTATTTTTACCAAGAACTTAACTTGCCTAAGATCTCATATTTTTGTATGAAGATTTTTTTTAATCATTCATATCTTAATCATTAAGTATATTTATTTTTTTTCTTTTACAACCACTTACTGGGTTTGTATATCCGAGCATTAAGACTGTATGTTCATATGCTTCATCAGAACATGGCGTAATTAGAGTGTCTAAATAAAATTTACCGGATACGCTCAAAGAGGCTTGCAAGATGTGAGAATTTTTGTTCTTGAAGTTGTTGCGTCTTTGTCTCTGCACTGTTTTGGATTTTTCATTATTATGATCTTGTTATTGATAATGTGAAATCTCAAATCTTAATTTTGACTCTCAGAGTATTGCCGATAAATAGTGTTAATTTTGTGTATTTGTTCAAGTTATTGATGAGTTGATTTAGCGTTTGTATTTGACTGATGGGAATTTAAGATACTAGTGGGGCAATCGACATATCGATTCCCGTTTTTTGTCTCTTTTTTTCAAATGTTCATTAGCTTTTGATGATAATACAGATGTCTGTGCCCTGTTGAGCTTTACTGTTGGATCCTCCTTCCATTATATCTGGGACGTCGGGGGCTTGTTCACTGTTCTTATTGCTTCTGGAACTATTATCTTCCTTTTCACTACACCGCCATCAGAAAGAGTACGTGATCACTTTAGAGATTTAAGTTTAAATTGGTGAATTGTTGTTAAATTTGCTTCTTGTAATATCGAATCTTCTAACTCTGCAGAAGAAGAAGCTCTGCTTGTTGATGACTGCTGCCTTTTTTATATGTGACAAAAACTCGGCCCCTGATAGTAGGCACTTTTAGCTAACTGCACACAAGAATAATACAGAACACAACACAAAATGACTATGTTTATGTCTTCATCCAGTCCAATGTCCTCATCTTGTTAAAGATACCAACACACTCAGGTAGGACTTTTCATCATTTACAATCTACTCTATTTATTCTACAGTTCCAAGTGTATCAGTATTAATTCTCTCTGTGTTGCTCATTTTCTGCAGTCAGGTAAACTCTTGCAGCATGGACCACTATACCCGGTAAATGGAAGAAGACGGCGAGTGTGCGATTGACAAAGTTAATTTCTCCTATGCCAGCATTATACAGTAAATCTTGGCTATATATCACAAAGTACCCCATGAACAATGCTTGCACAGTGTTTACCTACAACAAGCAGTATTCATCAGGTCAGTCATATTATTCATTCATTAGACAGAAGTAATGATTTATTGATGAGTGTGATCACATCCAACTGCTTACCTTAAACACCCAATGAACTGTATGGATGTCAAGCATATCTATACCATAGACAAAAATGCTGGAGCACATTAGAGCAAAAGAAAAATTCAGGCAAGTCATGTAGATTGCTCTCCTTTCCCTCGTATACGTGGATCCATACCAGATAATCCCAATGCTAAATGTTGAACCTTCCAAAAGGTTGACAATAAGGCTGGAGAGCAAGCAAGGAATGCTTTCCGAAGTTAGATAAAGAAGACAGAACAACCAGAGATAATCAATTACTACTCATGCAGAAGGATCAAAGTAACTGCTATTGAATTTATAATGTAGGAAATGAAAGAACAAGCAAGTGTCTTTTGTCATATTGGAAAAGACTTCAGGAATCAGTGGTATATTATTTAAGTTCACTCTTCATGAGCTATATCAAACTTTAACAGAAGATATCTGAACTATGTATAGAATCTTTTGAGTCTTACGGTGGATAAATTTCGAAGAGATATTTGGTAAAAAGGCCAAAAGAAGCACCCAAGGTACAGGCTGCATACATCAATAGTGAGACCCTCAGCCTCTGCATAGACAGAAGATTTACGATATAAAAAGTGACTTCAATAACAATTCAACAAAATGGAAGAAAATCTACAAGACACAGATCACGTACCACTCTCAATGGTGATGCAAAGTAAACTTGCTACAGAAGAAAGGACTGTGAACAGCCCTCCCACTTCCCAGATGATCAATTGCAAGAAGGATCCAAAAGTAAAGCTCAACATGGCACAGAAGAGAGTAAGATACACCTATATTTTCAGCAAACTAATCAATCAAAGGAAAAAAGCGGAATCCAATACTTAGAAACAGAACCTAAAATACATCCGTTCCAGCTAACCAGGCTTTGCAAAAAAAGAATAGATCAAAAACAAGACGCTGAAACCTGAAATTTCATGAAATAAATTAATCCGTCTGTCCAAATTTAAATGAAACAAATTCATTTTGGGAAGTTTGAAAGCACGTGGCAATCGTTTCATTTTAACTATTCAAAAAAAGAACTTTCAAGCCTGAATATGGAACAAGGTTTCAATACCAATCTCTACTCCAGTCGTTTTAACAATTATCACTAACGGCATAATTAAGTAAAAAAATACGGTAAAATATTCAGAAAAATCGAAATTCATCATGAGTCCTGAAGAATTAAGTAAAGCAAGTACAAAAGAAGAGAAAAAATTACGGTAATACATATAAAATATTCAGAAAAATCAAAATTCATCATGAATCATGAATAATCAAGTAAAGCAAGTAGAATGTTGCCTTATTTCTTACTAGAACTACAAGAAACTGTAAAAACAAATAGACTCCAAGTAGATCTCCTGATACAGCTATCAGTAACGAGATAACGAAAATAGAAAAATTTCCATTCCTTAATCGCTGGATTACAAGTTTTTCAAATAACAACATTTAAATCAGAACAATAATTATTACATTTGTGATCAAATAGAAAGAAAAAATGAAACAGTAAGAATAAATGTACCGTCGTTAAGCTTGTGTAAGCGTACTCGGAAATTTCTCCAGTATTCATCAGGTCTTCTCTTGTCCAATTCCTGTTGAAGTAAGCTTTCACAGCATTCATCTCTGAGAACTTCAAGTTTTTTTGCTTCAGAGAGAAAACGAAATGGGAAATTTGATGAAGAAGAATGAAGAACGTGTGCTGTGTTTATAGTTCGTTATATACCGAAGAGTTTGTTACCAAAAATTGCCCCTGGCCGTTACTCTGTTTGAGAATATTTACGGCTCTACCATTCAGTTATTGGCTGAGTTTTGGGGATATTGTAGGGGTAATTTCGTCAAAGAAGAAAAAGGATACTCCATCCTTTCATATCACTTTGACACATTCCTTAAAAAAGTTTTAATTAGATATAGTTTATTTTGGATCAAATTCCTTTCCCTCCATTTCCTCATGTACACATTTAAATGAGTGACACTTATGAGTTGTTTAATATATTTTTTAAAGGTCAAGATTAGATTAATTTAATAAACATTTTAATTACGATTAAAATATTAATTTGTATAGAGGAAATGGAAAGAAAGTATAATGGAGATAAGCCAAAAATTATATTAGACAAATATCAAATCAAATGAGTAAATGGAAAACCTTCCCACCAACAACTTGCGTCTGGAGACGAAATTACCCCTGTCATATAGCCCATATCCCAAAAATGGCATTCCGTTGGTAACGAACTCTTCTCTGCAAAACTATAAATAGAACTCACGCTCCTCATTCTTCTTCATCACTTCCAATTTCTCTGCAAAACGAAAAGAAAAAAAAATGGATTTCTTAGTGAATGCTGTGAAAGCGTACTTCGATAGGAGTTGGTCAAGAAAAGACATGATGAGTTTAGCACGAATTCCCCAGAACGATTGTACAAGCTTGAACAGGGTAAATTTCCACTTTTTTTCTATATTTGATTCACAAATGTTGCAATTGTAATCGAGGCAATGAATACTGTGAGAGCTTAATTCAGAAGGAACTGGAGAAGACTACACATGATGAATTCTGAAGAAAGGATTAGTGTTCTGATTAAAATGTTGTAATTTAAGTATTCGTGCTAAATCCTCAATTCTTAAGTATTGATGAATTTCAGTTCTCAGAAGATTATTGCCAATGACCATTCTACTTGATTGAAAAGTATTGCCGTAATATTTGCTGTTCTATTGCACTTGCTTATGCCGTTAGTGATAATTTGAATCGCGTTTGTTATTGAAGCCTTGCTCCCTATTCAGTCTTGGAAGTTGTTTTTGAATATTTTAAAATTCTTGAAAGCAATTGAATTTATTTCCGATTTCAGTTTCTTGTGTTTGATCTTCTTCTTTCTTTGAAAAACCTAATTTGCTGGGGAAAAAATGACATTTCGATCTTCTTTACTGTGATTGATTAGTTTTTGATGATTATATAGGTGTATTTGACTCTCTATTGGGCCATGATGTGCTCTAGTTATGGATCCTTCTTGCACTTGTTCTGGGAATTGGGGGGACTGTTACCAGTCTTTTTAACTGTAGCAAGTGTACTCAGGCTTCACTTTACATCCCCACAGAGAGTGGTATGTGATCAATGACTCGTAGATTTTATTCCAAGTTGTTGAATTATTCTTCAACTCGCTTCTTATAACATAAATCTTCTGTCTGTGCAGATGAAGAGGGTCTCACTATTTGTGATTTCTGCCTTTTTCTTCGGTGCTTCTGTTGAAACAAGTGAGTGTAGCCAAAATAAAACCTGGTTGATGGTAAAATATCATGTCGCGGATAGTTTCTTTAAGGAAAATAATCATATTCTTAAAGAAGATTTTGTAGTGTGTCGAATGAAGAAGAAGATGGATAAAGAGAAGAACGTGGATTATATTATGGAGGCACAAGATGGAGATGTTGCGGGAATCAACGATCCTATGTTGCTTGAACCTAATCATAATAACGATTACTCCGCAACGGAAGATGAAGTTAGGGTTTGTGATGAAGAAGATGCAGTTGAGGCTACAACTTCCGAATATGATGTTCAAAACAGTACTTATGAAGCTACTACAATGGAGAATAAAGAGACAACAAGGCCACGGAGTTGATGATATTAGAAGAAATGAATTTCAGGAAGAGATGCATAGAACGTTTGAGGACATTCCTGTTGATATTCCTGACGATTGGTTGCAGAATTCACACGGTCTACAAGATATTTAATACACATCAAAATATTTATATAGTTCCTTAGATGGATTATGTAGTTGAAAAAAATTGTATATAGTTCAATTTTGCCCATATATATAAATGTCAATGTTCTGATTATTAATATTTCGAAGTAGAAAATCATGATTAACATAGCAATGTTCCATCTCCAGGTCACTGATTTTTTCTGTAGCTAGGAGTACTGCTGTTTTGATATCTTTGCTTAACGCTAGCTCATCTATTGATCATTGTTTCTTCTCCTTATCGGGAGGTTTCTTGTTCATGTTGGTTAAAGATTTATTGGTTGTATGGTTTGATTTCTATTCACTTCAACTTTTTAAATTTTCATAATAAATCCATTGATAATTGGTGTTTTGATGGAAGAGTTGTTTTCAATTGTATTTGAATTGAACGAGCGAAGAAGTAGAGATATCTATAATTGTATTATCTTCGTCCTTATTTGTATAAACTAGTAAGTATCAATTTGATTTGTATAATTATTATGGATTGATTATGAATACAATTGGAGGTTTTGTCGATTAATTGTTTTCAATTGTATTTGAATCGAGCGAATATTGAAAAAGCAGTGATGTCAATTTATATAATTAGGTTATTTTCGTTCATATTTGGATCGGGAATAACATCACAATCCACAAGCAAATACAGAAAACGAACTCACATTTCAAAAAAATTCATGAAAAGTTACTGCTATAGGAGATTAATGAAATTTACTTGTTCAACTTTTTAACATTTTTTTAATGAGTTAATATAACTACCGCGAAATAGTGGTCCTATTAACATGCACATTTTGTATTCCTCTGTGATACTCAGTGAAATTACTGGACTGGGGGGAAGAGGGCCACTGAACAGCTGCTGAAATAGCATCACTACGAGCAGCTTTTACGCAAGAAGTTTCAGTGTGGCATAAACTTGACCATCCTAATGTTACTAAGGTGACACTCGAACTCTAACCTTTTTATGTGGGAAAGATTTAAGACTTCTTAGATGATAATGCTTGCTCCTAACAAATCAAAGGGGTTAAAGATTTTGTGGGTTCATCTACTAATAATTTACAGCATATGCTACCTTTTAGTCAGCTTATTCTCTTTTCACTACCTTGCTAACAAAGTATGGACATAGTGTTGGTAGAGCAGTTCTTCAACGGCTAGTTTGATGGCGATTAGCTATTTTAAATCACAGCTTACTCAACATGTGGAAGTATTTTGAAAAATATACCTAATTAGTAGATATTCTTATCTTTGTGTCAGAAATTTGAGTGTTGCACTACTCTGTCAAGTTGTTGAAGCTTTGCTTGGCTTTCTTTTTAATTCAGTTCTGTAACTTTGGCAAAATAATGTTGTTGAAGCATCTAGATATCTGTTTAAATTTGTTGTTCTGGAGCACAATTCAAGCAGTTCCCATTATAGATATTAGTAGCTACTTATACTTGGTAAAGCAATCCACGGTGTGATACCTCCCATACAAGAGTAGACCAAAGGAAACAACTCAACTAATACTATAAGCCATGTAAATAGCAACATAATTCTTAGAGCTGATAATGTTGAGCTGTGTAATTGGTGATCCCTTCAAGAATCGTGTTGAACAAAGTTCTCAGGTACTATGTTCTGCTTTCGCAACTATAAACTTTCATATTTGACGTTTCTCTGCATTTTCCAACCTAAAGCTGAGCCCTTCTGTTCTTATTGACAATTACAACAACTGCACAACCAATTAATTATTTAGTTAGTTAGTTAGTTTGTTGCTACTTATCAGCTGCTTAGTCACAGTGTAGTTTGTTATATGGCAGTTAGTTAGTTAGGATATTTTCACATCTTTGATTCTTCTAGAATAGTCCAACTCACGTGTATATAATGCTACATTGATCAATGAAACAGTGCTGGTTTTCATTCTCTTCAAACACAGTGTTCTTAGCTTTCTTCCTGTCAAATGTTATTCATGGCTTCCCTGTTTTGACTCAATTGAGTATACTCCATTGTTGTATGTTTTGATATGGTATCAAAGCAAGGTTGAATTTGCTTCGTTTCTTTTCTTCTTCAATTTTCTAGATCTGGTGATTTCTAGGTTTAATTGAAGATCTCGTCATGGGTGATGTTGATGTTCCTCCTATGGCGACAATTGCTGCTGGAATTGATACAAGCAGTTCTCTCTATGTCCATCCTTCAGATAGTCCAGGTATGCCGCTTGTTCCGGTTCAATTTGATGGAACTGGATACAGATCCTGGAGAAGAGGTGTTCTACGAGCTTTGTCTGTGAAGAACAAGTCTAGTTTCATTGATGGGAGCTGTGTAAGGCCTGCTGAAACTTCTCCTCAATTTCGTCAATGGAAAAGGTGTGACGATATGGTGACATCGTGGATACTAAATTCACTAATCAAGGAGATCTCGGACAGTGTGGAATATGTCAACAATTCTACTGAGCTTTGGAAGGAGCTGGAGGATAGATATGATCAAACCAATGGTGCAAAATTATATCAAATTCAGAAGGAGATCGATGACCTAACACAGGGTGTTCTAGACATCACTGTTTACTACACAAGGATGAAGAAATTGTGGGAAGAATTGAGTACTTTGAATGCAAAAAGTTTGTGCACTTGTGTGTGTACTTGTGGTGCCAAGGATAACATGCACAAATTTGAACAGAATAGGCGATTGATACAGTTCCTCATGGGGTTAAATGAGGTATACACTGTGATTAGAGGTAATATACTCATGATGAATCCCCTACCCTCTATGGCACAGGATTTTTCTCTGTTGATTCAGGAGGAGAAACAAAGGGAATTTAAACCTATTGCTCGTATGCCAATGGATTCAACTTCTTTAAGTGTGAATTCCACCAACAATAATAACAGAGGAGCAGGTAGAGCCTACAGAACAAATTTTTCAACTGGCAATAACTACTCAGGCAGTAACAACAACAGAGCTGTCATAATTTGTGAGTAC